TACATTAGATTTGTACTTTTATAACTTTTTTATCCTAGAGGTCATAAGAAATCTAAAAAAAGAAAATCCCATGAAAATTATTGAAAGATTGTTGCATGGCTTAACAATAAGTACTAAGGATTTGGAATCAGAATATTTTTCCAAATGTTTAGATTCTTCAATAAAAGTAGACATGAGTAGTAAATTATTATTATCCACAGATCCAACTCTACAGGGAAGGAACTGGGGTTTAAGAATACAATTTGAGGCTGGGCACGGTGGCTCGCGACTATAATCCCAGCACTTTGGGAGGCTGAGGTGGGCGGATCACCTGAGGTTGGGAGTTCGAGACCAGCCTGACCAACATGCAGAAACCCCATCTCTACTAAAAAATGCAAAGTTAGCTGGGTGTGGTGGTGCATGCCTGCAATACCAGCCACTCGGGAGGCTGAGGCAGGAGAATCACTTGAACCCGCAAGGTGGAGGTTGTGGTGAGCCAAGATTGTACCATTGCACTCCAGTCTAGGCAACGAAAGTGAAACTGTCTCAAAAAAAAAAAAAAAAAGAACACAGTTTTACAGTTCTACATCAGGAGTCATTGTCAAAGCCATGATTAATGCATAACCTTCTGATATCTAATAATTTGGTTCATTATCACCTTTAGTTGATGTATTTGTCTAGTATCAGTTACAATTAGGAACGTGCTAGGGATGTATAGTCACATTTAAATAAGTTTATAAAAAGACAAGTAAAATTATGCTGGTTATATGAATTGCAGATTAGCATATCTCTGTGTCAGAAAGGTCAGAGTTATGATTATACAGTTTTCTCTTTGCCCTAAAAGTTTAAATTTTAATAAAGATTAAATGACATCTCTCTAGAATTTAGAAAAATTACTAAAAACTAAATTTTCTTTTTATGTATGCATGTTTGTCTACTTGTTCACACTTCATCATAGCAAGATACATTAGATTTACTATATTAACATTTCTGAAAATCAGTGTTCCTCCTATTCTATAAGAAGCATAAAGAGAATAGGAATTATGTACTAACTGTATAATCAATAAAACAGTGTTATTGAAAAAATGACTTTAAATTTTCTCCTTGAAATATGCTTCAAAATGCATACAATTATTTAAAAATGAAATTCATACTTTGCTTTTTTAATAAATAGTATAACCTAGTTAATAATAATTATTTGATATATTTATTACTTTTTATTCTATTGTCAGAAAATTCCTGGAAATATTTTCTATGCAAAAGATTCTAGAAATGTATGTGAAGTTTGTATGATTTCAATAATGTAGGGCTATAATTTGTTTCAGTGTAACTATTTGATAACACATTTTTTTTCCTAGACAGAAACCAAAACCCGTAACTACCTGGGCTTCAAAGTGAATTTCTGTAATGTTTATGAGAAGGAGTACATAATAAGAAAAATGTATACAAAATTAATGATTCTAGGCTACCTGTTACATCAAAAATATACTACTAGGAATATTGTGTGTTTAATCCTCAAAACAGTCTGATAATAGTAAAAAAATTACAAAAGCAATAAGTACTTATACAACAATTACTATAGACACATTGTTTGAAAGATTTTCCGCATATTATTTTACCCTCACAATAATATCTATGAGGAAGTTACTATTCTAATTTTTGTTTGCTAGAGAAGGACATCTTTTCATGGAGTTTAAGAAATGTCCCTAAGCTCACCCAGCTAGGAAGTGGAGGGTGACACAGCTAGGAAGTGGAGGTACCAGGATTTGAACCCAAGAAATTCAGTTCCAGAATCCATGATCTTAACCAACAGATTGCACTACTCCGTGGATAGTTGCTTTCATTCTTATTTTACAAATGAGAAAACAGAGGGTCAGAGTTATTAAGTTGCAAGTAGGAATTTGAACTGATATTCTTTGACTTAAGCCTACAATACTGTCTTCTAGCACTACGATGCACCAATTTTCTTTTCCTCTAGGCAAGCCATCTCTTAGTATCTTTTGTGGTATTTCATTATGAAAAGCTTTGAGTTCTAGAGCATAATGAATCAGTGTAGAAATTGATTAAAATATGTGTTCCCCAGGTGAATGAAGTTACTATAGGTTTCACAGCTTAGTTTCTTTTTAAGGGGGATAGGGATGGTGAAGAGAACTAACATTTACTTAAAATTTACTGTACATTGAATCTGTACTAGTAGTATCATTTATAATTCAGCTTAATCCTTAAAACTATCCCATGAGACAATAATATTATCACTCTTTTGCTGATGAGGATGAGGAGACTCTGCAACATAAGAAATTCAGTGTTAGAAGAGACTACAATTTGACCTATTTGGTATTAAAGAAATTCCTACACACAAAATTCTAGTACTGCCCAAAGAAAGCACAATGGGGTTTCAAGCATATTGCCACGTGCAAATATTTGCTGAGACACTGAGAATTGCAGGGTGTTTGGCAAATTTAATATTAAAAATCACCACAAGCACTTTCATACCATAAAAATTCATATCTTCTTTTAAACTCAATTTGATTAAAATGGGAATTTTCCATATTATGTTACTGATTTTGGAAATGGAAAGATGCAGTGTGACATCTGCTATCGTATAGTGATGAAATTTAAACACAAGCTTATAATTTCCTAATTCATTATTATTTCCTATTTGAGTTAGTACAAGAAAAAGATGTGAATAATTCAGAAATATTCTCATTATCAATGTTATTATTGATGTAAAGTCCTGGTAGAACAGACTATGATGCAATTGGTCAATGACTCTCATCGGGTTATTTAGTTATGTGCAATAGTTTAAGTGTTGTATTTCAAGTTACTTAAATAATGGATAGGTTTTTCTTAGAGATGCAGAGACCAAGGTAAAAACTAGCATTTATTTTTTCTAAATACTCCAAACAATGTAATCTTTTAATCTAAAAAGAATGATTAGTAAAAACAATCAAATAAAAACCAAAGAGTAAGTTTAAGACGAGGGTATTACCATCACTTTCTCTCAACTCCACTTCTCATGTTTAATCACTAGTTTATATCATTTCAGTATATTTTATGTTGCACATCTATTTTACACAGTTCTATATAGTATCTTTGTATATGCAAATATACTATACACATTTTTCTATCAAAATAGGATCATACTATAAGTTGTTTTATAATTTATTTTTATTTACACAAGATTCTAACACAGGTATACATTGAATATGCTCATTATTCTTAACACTTCTTGGTCTTTTATATACTTCAATTATTCTTAAAAATAATGCAGAGGTAAATATCCTTTATACTTGCATGGTCGGAAGATTATTTCTAGAGATTGCTAAAAATTGTATTGCAATTTAAAAACTCACCACAACACCTCACTTTCAAAATCAAGATTTGCTTTAAGAAAAAATCTGTGGACCTCTGTAGAGAGATTGTTCACTTGTTCCCATTTATAACCCTGACAAGTTTAATCATTCTGTGCCTCAGTTTCTTTATCAGCAAAATACGGGTCATAATAATGCCTACATCACAGGGTTGTAGAGAAGATTACATTATCGGAACGATGACTTCTACTTAATAAAGGCTCAAGAAATGTCACGTATAAATTAAGATTATCTGTATCATCTAGAATATATATGTAATGTAAATTGGCAAATTTCCCTTTTAAGAAAAAAAGGCAAGAAAATAGTGCAAATTTGTGATTTGAAATGCCAACTTTATGATAAACAACATTTACAAATGTTTCCAATCATACAAATAAATGTGTGCCTCTGAACCATACATTTCAGTGTCACTGATCTACACGTATATTCCTATGTCATGACAGTAGTATAAAACCTGTGCCTGTTAAGGACAGTTAATATACAAAAATGAAATGTATCCATTATTATATCTAGGAAGCCAAGTAATAATCACATGCACTTTGATAATTTTTGTTGCCATCGTTGTTTTTTTGAGACGGAGACTAGCTCTGTTGCCCAGGCTGGAGTGCAATGGCGGGATCTCTGCTCACTGCAACCTCCACCTGTCGAGTTTAAGCCATTCTCCTGGTTCTGCCTCCTGAGTAGCTGGGATTACAAACGCCCGCCACCATGCCCAGCTAATTTTTGTATTTTTAGTAGAGACAGGGTTTCACCATGTTGGCCAGGCTGGCCTCGAACTCCTGACCCCAGATGATCCTCCTGCCTCGGCCTCCCAAAGTGCTGGGATTACAGGCATGAGCCATCGTGCTGGCCTGATCATCTTGTAGTGAGATTTCAGATAACTACTAGCACTCAGAATTACACAATTAAGAGTAAATTGCAAACATGTCTATCTGCATATTTCATTTCCTTCCACATCAATGATTTGAATAATGTAGAAAACAGAAAGCTACATCTGAAACACTTATTATCATATTTTTAAAAACTTCCTAATCATATATAGGTCAGTGCGGGAGCATATGTGTATGTGTGTGTGGGCATGTGTGCCTTAGGTAACTTATTTTTATTTCTACATTTATCTTTTATTTTTTTACCTTTTAGCTTCAACACAAAGGAATAACTTATTTTCAAAACTGGTAAATAAAAAAATTACCACCATCTTTCTTTCAATGTAAATTTGTTTTTGTCAAGCCGTTTTTGAAATGCCCACTTTAAATTTAGATTCACTTGTTCAGTTATTGTTATGCAACTTACAGTCAATGCTCTAACACTTAATTAGATATGTATAGAAATGAAAATGCACATTCACGAAGGAAGTAGACCCACTGAGACCAGAGGATTCCCTTGACCCCTTTGTGGGCCTTGTGACAAGGGTGTGGCTCACTTACTGGGCTCCTGCACTCAAACCCCTTCCTGGAGGGGAAGCATGCAGGTAAGCAGGTACCAGGGCCTGGGCAAGTGCTTCTGGGCTCCAACCCTACAGCAGCGTCCAGGGTTGTGTGACAATAAATGCTCTTTTAGCAGTTGCCATCCACAGATGTCTAAATGTTAACCAACTCAGAGGAGAGCCTGGTTGACAGCCTTTTTACACCCTGCCCTCTTGGTACCCAGGTTTTGTCCAGCATCCAAGAAGAATCAGGTCACACAGACATCAAGGATGGTGAATGCGGAGATTTTACTGAGTGATGAAGGTGGCTCTGAGCAAGACGGGGAGCTGGAAAGGGGATGATGAAGTGGTAAGATAATCTTCCCCTGGAGTTTGGCTGTCCCTGGCTGAACTCCTCTCCGACCATCCCCAGTCAAACTCCTCTTGACATTCAGATGCTGCTTCTCTTCTCTCCTTCTCTGCCATGCCATTCTGCTCCTCTGCCAGTGGAGTTTGGGGTTTATATGGGCAGAGGATGGGATGTGGGGCAGGCCAAAAAGTAATATTTGGGCAGGAAAACAGGGATAACTGTTCCCATTTAGGGATGTGGTTTCCAGGCTTGAGGGCGGGGCCTTTGCCAGGGAACCACCTTCTTCTACCCAGTATTTCCCTGCCTTTTGTCTGTATCACCATCATAATTGGAAACAAACAAATCAGTTTGTTCTTGATGTTCATTACTTCTCCACTTTTGATAACTTAGGAAGAAGCTGGTTCTGCAGGTCTGGGTTATTTTGGAGGTTACTCTTTTCTAAAAAGGCCAGTTCTGCCAGGTAGCATCCACTGTTGAATAGTGACATCTTGTCTCTCTTTTCCTGTAAATACAGGATTATGGGGGCAGAATCCCTCTCTACTGGGAAATTCGCCAGAGTTGATCCAGTCCAGCTATGCCCAGTTTATGAATACCTCCTATGAGAGGCCGAGAATCATGTGTATTATTCCGCTGTTCCTTTGCTTACAGGATTTTGCCAAATAACACTATTTTAATGTTACATGGGCTGACATTAGTGTTGTTTATATATTGAGGTCCATGCCTCCATTGTACAATAGTCATATAAAAATACATAATGTTTTAATGTGAATGAGAAAAATAAATATTAATATATAATCAGATTTACATTTGCCAATCATAACTCAAGAACAGAATGATTTGCATTATTGTCTATCTAAAAAGAGTTATCTATTTGACCAAGAACTCACAAACAATATCCTCTCTCATTTCTTCTACTGACCACTCCAAGTATTCACTAGTATCCCTAGACCCCTTTCTCATCATTTCTCACTACTGAGATAGGCAAAAATGTTTCCTTTTACATGACTGAATCTGAGGCCGTGAGATGCACCACCATCTACCCACTCAATTAATTGAGGAAGCACTCTTTGTTTCTCCTGCTTTTCCTGATTCTCCATGTGGAGTATTAATTGCTGTCTTCTCTGTCTTATCCCTACAATCAGGATATCTCTCTTTCATTATGTTTTAATTATTTCTTAACCTAATTTCCCTAGATCTTTTAATTTCTTAAAGATTAAGGATATGGCAGTGGACAAGAGAGAAAGTCTTACCTCCACAAAACTTATATTCTGAGGGAAAATAATATAATAATATTAATATGTGAAAGAACAAATGAATACAATAATTATAAATTGCTGAACTAATAAATAAAGCGATGTAGATCACAATATGTGCTAAGAAGGAAATGAATAGATTGTTATGATACAAAATAATAAGGATAAAGATCTTCAGGACAAGTGGCTCTAGAAGGCATTGATGTTGAATCCCTAAGGCGAAAACCATGAGAAGAGTTATGGGGGAGAATTCCAAGCCAGAGCCAGAGCCAGATCAGGCAGAGCCTCGATCATAGAAGGAAAATTGGGCTTTTTGTCCAAGTTCAATTCAATTCTCCCAACAATACTATTTGAGCATCTAGAGTATGCCAGAATGTAAGGGTGAAAATAAAATCTCCGTCCTCATGAAACTTATACTGGAGGGCAAGTGAGGATGAAACCTGCAATAAGCAGATAAACATATTAACAAACAAAATAATTTCACATATTAATAAAGTCTATAAAAATGATATTGAAAACCTCAATATGATGAGGTAGGGTCTTATTTACATAGAGTGGCCAAGCTGGTCTCTCTGAGAGGTCATGATTGATCAGAGCACTAAACAATGTGAAGGAGTGAATCAAGTGAAATCTGAAGAAAAGACACAGCAGGCAGGGGAAAGAGCAGTGCAAAGCCTTGAAACCAGAATGAGTTGGGCCAGTTGGAAGAACAGCAGCGTAGGAGTAATTGGAGAGCTGGAAGCTACAGGGACAGGAAGAGATGAAGTAGGAGCTGGAGTTTGGGACCAGACTATTATAATACACCACATCAAATGTTGGGCAAAGAAGACTAAATATAAAAGTAACAAGATTCATCCAGATTCTCTCTCTACATTCCATTTTACTTAGAGAAAACATGCTTTTCAAAATGCTTCCATGAAGTGATCCAACACCCAGGTACACCTTGTATTCACTTAATGAATGCTCAGTAATTTTTAGTCCTTGTTGAATATTAGAATCATATGTGAAGTTTTTTAAAAATAAATATTCATGACCCTCACCCACAAAACCTAGATATGCATAAATAAATTTTTAAAAGTCATGAGCAATCTGGTGAGCAATGGAAGTAAAAAATGACTGTTTTCTACTCAGTTGGTCTAATGGACCATTGTTCGTAGAAAATAAGAATTAACAGGAGGAAATACACTGTCATCAAGATGATTTCTTTCTCATTTTAGTTGCATTTTTATCATGGCGATTACCAATTGCAAAGTGTGTTGATATGACTTTCAATCACATTTTGCTGCCTGGAAATTATTGAAGATTTCTGCATTCTCTTTTCAAACAGGAATCACATCGCTAATGAAAAGATCAGTTTGTGGCCAATGAATACATGTTAATGCTAAAATATCTGAAAGTTATTTTCCTGATACTACAGGGGTTACAAATTGTCTAGTCATAACCTAACAGATATTACATTAGGGTTGAAATATTATTAAGGTTGTTATGACTGATAATTCTGTCATAAATAAAATAATCTTTTAAAGTGTAGTAATGAATTGACTTAATTTCAATGTTACATGTTCAACAGTTGTAAAATATTACCAGAAATTAAAATGCACAGAGTTCTCTTAATGTTTATTATGAACAAAAATATACAATAGAAAGAAAACAATACCCAGTAATCTTCCAGCTGAGCCTAAGAATTCCAACGCCAAATTGCTTTAAAGAATAAATTCTGATAGAATGGCATATATGCTACTACATTATGCATATCAGTCTTGTGTATATTGAAAGAAGGAATTACATTAAATGTGGTATTTTTGCACACATGAAAGAAGAGCTCTTTTCTGAAAATGACAAGAATCAATCAGAGTTCCTCAAAATCAAAATATAAGAAAATGTCCTTTCTAAAACTATCTGTGTATGAATATTGCACCTTTCAACAAATATGCTTATGGTTAGATTTACAGATTATACATAAAATTTCCTTAATTACCATAGTAGTTTTCTCTTTAAATACCTTTTCAGAGACTATTACCCATATTGTAATGTTCAGAAAAGTGATGATCAATTCATGAATGTGTTGAAAGTGTCATATTAAAACTACAAGCTCTAGAGTTGTGATTCTCAAAGAAAAAAAGGAGATTTCAAGGAAAAGAATGAGGTGGGGCATATCAGAACGTGAAACACAATAATTGCTTTGAATTTTAAGATGTTTGTGCAATGAAAAAAATTTGAAATTTTATATGCTATTGAAGGAATATATAATCTTTTGAAGATGTAAAAGCAAGCATGTGTTAAACATTTTGTAAAATAATGCCTAAGAATTACAAATGACAAATTACATGCCAAAATGTGATATGTGGCCCTGTGCTAAATGTGGGGGCATGTGATATTGTTTCTTCATTAAGGAGATGAAGCCACAGGGTAAACATTAAGGAGAGAGATTATATAACTTTTCAAATATCAGCCCTCATTAAAATTTACTTTGGTGACATTCGAACATGTGTGTGGGAGAAATTAGGATTTCTACTCTTAAGAAAAAGCATTAAATAAACAAATGATGCTTTCCTCCAATTCCCAGATTATGGTCACTAATTCAGTTGTCATTTTGGAGAGGAGAAAATCATTTAAATTTGAAAATGATAAATTCTATACCAGTATTACTTTCTAGAAATTTGGAAAAACCTAGCACTTTAAGACAAGTCAGAAACTAAACTTATAAAATTTTAGATCTTTCCTTCACAAAGTAAAACTGACCTCATAAGGTTTAGATTTATACTTTAAAGTGTGAGAAGGTGCTAATTATTCCAAGGCAATATAAATGTAATGCCAGGAATTTATGACATGCGAGGCAATTTTATTCTTGCAATGCATTATTTTGAGGGAAAGATGGAAGAAAGAAACTTACATGTAAGGGGATGAAAACGATGAGCTAACATCATGCTCAGCACTTTACATCCAACATTTTCTTTCATTAAAAAAAAAAAAAAATGCACCTCTTACTGCATGTTATTATTCAACTGTGAGAGGTTAGCTGAATTAAGCAATAACAAGCATTGCTTGTTAGGGTCAGTGATGAATATTAACACCTTTCACCCTGACTTTCACACCATCTGCATTTGACTCAAACACTGTGACTCAACGCTGAATCCGTAGCAGCCCACCACAATTAAAAATGAGTTGAAAAATTCTTAAGAACTATTTGTCAACAAGGTCTCCATTCTAAACTACCTTCCTTGAAAGATGAGAGAAACAGATGACATGGTTAAGTTAAACAGAAACAAGTTGGGCTCTCTGGATTTTCAGCAACAGCAGCAACAAAACTGGTTAGTACACAGGTATCAAGTTCCCAGGCTGCGTGATACATTTATGCTTTCAACTTCTCGTCACTTCACAGCAGAATATTATTATCCAAGAAAATCAATCTACTTCTACTAGGAAAAGAATATTTCAGTGATGAATGGTGTCAAAGATTGTGTGTGTGAGATATCTGTCCTGGAAACTGGAGTTGCTGGCTGTGAATAGCTCTTTGAAAATCACTCTCTCTCCTGGAATTGTCTAGGAAAGACACATGTCAGGAGCATGTATAGTACTACTCATTGAATTGTTACTGGGAAAAGCCTCCTGCCTAGGCTAGCCAATGGGAGGTAGGACAAGTGTGTGTCACATTTTAAACATTTGGTATGTTGGCAAACTTTTCTATATTTGGTGTATGTTCCTAATAGGATACAATGGACTGGGAATATGGCTATAACAAAAGAAGTTTTATGATAGGAAAAATGTTCTATGATGGGGGCTACTTCTTTTATATAGCTTTTTCTGAGGCATTTCAAATATGCATCTGAATATAATCTTAAGACTATCTTAGAACACAGTAGATAAACAGGTTCGAAGTTTTGAGATAAACGATTTTTCAATAAGAATTATTGAAAGCAGATTAGAAAATGGTCTTTGGTGCCATTTGACCTTGCATTTACAAAGGTCAAAATAATCATGTTATTTAAGAAATATAAGGGAGTGTTAATAGCTTGGACATTAAAAATGAATAAACTATTTGTAAACAATAATGTTAATAATATATGTATACATTTTTCTAGAGTCCAAAAGATATATTCTGAAGTTCTAAATATGATATATGTGGGTACCTTTCAGGTCATCCTGGAAAGCCATAAAAGGAGGAAAGATAATTAAACTAATATTCATTTAGATGTGGACTATACAAGAAGGATTAAACCAAGTAATACATATAAGTGGTATTTTCCCAATCGATCATCTCCAGATTCTTTGTAATCGCTTCTAATCTATCTTCTACAGTCTATCTTCTTCCAAGAGAAAGCTAACAAACATATTCATTCATCTATCACAGTAGACTAGGCTACTCTAGGAATACAATTTCAAAGGTAAAGTAATCCATGGAACTTACATTTACTATTTCACATGTCATAACCTGTTGGTCTTGATATCAGTCATTTCAATTATATCCTATACCTTAAGAACGTGGACTGCTTGAGAAGGTTTTTATCATGTAAATTTTATTTTTTGGTTCTCATTGGTATAATTAAACAAAACGGATAATAAAGTCATTTGCTGGAACAATTTAACATTGCTTATTTGCTTTTAGAATTTGAATTATTCTGGAGACTAAAATGCTTTTTAATCTTCCCCAAATCCATGGACTATGAAAGGTAAATAGAAAGATGTGAGTTAGCCAATCTATTTTCACATTGCGGTGAAGTGGATTTCAAAAGTTGATTATATATTCAGAAAGTTATATTCATGTTTGTGTAAATAGACAAGTATTTTTAAAAACATGAGAAAAAGATTTAATGCCAAATACGAGTATTCTCAAGCTTTTTAAAAATGAATTATTATGTAAACATAAAAATCAAAATATTTCAAGAAAATGTGTATTATTACTATTTTTAAATATTTTACTATGCATCATATTTGAAATATAGAATTTTAGAACTCACTATATTTATAAAGTTTAAAGATCTACAGTTAGAGAAAGCTATATAGTGTCACTAAAAAAATTACAGTGTAATTTTCAGACAGGAAACAACCTTGAAGATCTAGTAATTCATGCAGAATACTTTTTATATTTCTGGAGCTGAAGATTACTTCATTTTATTCCAAATTGCATCAAAGAACACACACACAAAGGATTGCCTTTAGAGCATAAGGAAATATATCAATAAATTTTAAACTATCAAGTTAATCTTTAAACTCCCCCAGAAAGAATGAGTTATGAAAATGAAAGTAACACCACAATAATGTGCATGTGAATTGCTATTAAATTTTTATACCTCTGTAATTAGACAGCAAAGACCAATCATTTAAAACTTGGAAAGGAAATCATCTACAGGATTTATATGAGTTTATGCATTTTATTTTCAGTAATACTAGAGCATAATCATAAAACATTAAGATGCATATAAATGTAGTCCAACGGGATGACCCAAATGCATGCAATAGTAAGGAGGAAAAAAATGGTTGCATAAAAGCAAATTTTGTAAATAACACCAATATTGTCCAAATACCAGTACGAGGACCCAATACATAGACTATTACTTGAGGTTCCCACTTACAATTATATCTTTCAAAGTCAACATCACCTCTTCCATTGTGTGCAAAAGAGCAATTTAAATATTTCAGTATAAAAATAAACCAATAATGAGATGATTTTATGGGGGAAAATCTGAAGTAGGTTAAGAAAGTTTTGGTTTTTTTTTTTTTTTTTTTTTAACCTTTTCAATCATTTTTGGGATGCTTCTCTGTTTTCCTTTTAGTCCTTCTTGGGCTTTAATTATTTTTCAATGAAGCCTTCTCTGTTCAAAGCTTGGGAATACCACACTGCACTACTCTCAAACTTCAGCATGCATAATAATCACCCAGGGTCTTAGTCAAGAATGCAGTTTCATGGACTATAATCAATGGATCTTGTGATTCCATGTTAGGGGAGTTAAGGAGGGTTGCTCAAGGGCCTATAGTTTTAATCATCTAATGCAGGTAATCTGGAGACCAAATTTTGAAAACTATGTCATGGGAAATACTTGAATGAGTAAAAGTCCCCAGTCCCAAAAAGAAAGGAATAAATATGTGAGTTTGTGGCTGGATAACTTAGGGGCACTGATATGGTTTAGATTTGTGTCCTTGCCCAAATCTCATGTCGAATTGGAGGAGGGGTCTGGTAGGAGGTGATTGGATCGTGGGGGTGATTTTCCCCTTGCTATTCTCCTGATAGTATGTGTTCTCACGAGATCTGATGGTTTAAAAAGCGTGTGGTTTTCTTTGCTCTGGCTCTCTCCTGCCACCATGTAAGACGTGCCTTGCTCCCCCTTCCCCTTCCACCATGACTGTGAGTTTCCTGAGGCCTCCTCAGCCACACAGACCTGTGAGTCAGTTAAACCTCTTTTCTTCATAAATTTCCCATTTTCAGACAATTCTTTGGAGCAGTGTGAAAACAGATTTATAAAGGCAATTACAAATTGTGTGATTTTTGGATAATCATGTAATCACTTTGCTTCTCAACTTCCTCATATAAAATTCAGGGTCCTGGACTAGGTGAGGTGTAAGGTTAATTTTGAGTCTCTTAATAATACTAGTTTTTCTCCAGCTGTCAGGGCATATAGCATTACATGAGAAAGCCTCTCAATATCCTTCAAAATCAAAGCTAGCAGATGACTGCTTGCTTTACTTTTTGCTAATATTAGATATCTTGATCACATTGAATGCAAAAATAATATGGTGATGTGTACATACTTATTTTTCTGCCCAACAGAACCTATCCCTTTTTCAATGATTTACCACATTCCTCTTTCTTTTAACTACTTCTCCTGACATCATCCATGGTTGCAATGGAAGTCATTATTTTATAGTGCAATCTACCCTTGGAAGTTCTTGGTTAACCAGTTCTAAAGTAGACACTTGATCCAAGCTGGGCCAAATATTATCATGCCTGTTATTTTTGGGTTTGAGATTCAAAGCAAATTGTCATTTTCCTAAAGGTCTGAACTATAACATGAAAATATCAGATGATGTTGGATGCATTTGTAGAGTAAATTAGTCTGAAGTGAGAGGATAGTACTTACCCACATAGGAGCAAAAATAAGAGTCAGAAAAAATATTTTCATTTGCTGATTTCATGGCACAGCAACCTTGCTGTATTTGATTTACGCAAAATATCTAGAGGTTTTATGGTACATTTACCTTTTAGAATAAGCCAATTTGAGTTGTGTTTCTGTGCCAGCCAAATGAGAGTCCTAACTAAAAGAGCAGATTTTGCAGATGGATATTGAAATTCCATCTGTAGCTTTCTAAATAATACAATGCGAAAGAGGGCAAATTTGATTTGAACTTGATTGGATTGGAAATTAATAGGACATGGTTTTCTAGAGTAATCCTATTCTGTATCTCTTCTACAGATGGTTTTTGACCTAGGAGGCCTAATATCTAGTGACTATGGAGTAACTAGACTATAAGGAAAATAGTCTAACCCTAGCATTGCCATTGGGAAGCCAAGAAAAAATAAATATCCAACATACAGAATTTTCTAGAACAAAAATAAAATGTTTTTAGGTCTGAATCTAAAATATTCATCTTTTTTCATCTAAACAGGACAAGAATTCAAATGCTGTTTCTTTGTGGATGACATGAACTGATACCTAGAAAACCTTAAAGTCTCTGCTAAAAGGCTTCTGGAACCAATAAACCTCAGTGAAGTTTCAGGATACAAAATGAATGTACAAAATCTAGTAGCATTTCTATACACCAATAACACTCAAGGTGAGAGCAAAATCAAGAATGTAATCACATTTACAACACACACACACACACACACACACACACACACACACATATACAACCTAGGAATACATCTAATCCAGGTGATGAAAGGTATCTACGAGGAGAACTACAAAAAATGCTGAAAAAAAATCACAGATGACACAAACGTGGAAAAAAATTCCATGTCACAGATTGGAAGATTCAATGTCATTAAAATGGCATACTGCCCAGAACACTTTACAGATTCGCTGGTATTTCTATCAAACAACAAATATCATTTTTCAGGGAATTGAAAAAAAAAAAAAAAACTGTTCTAAAATTTATATGGAACAACAACAACAACAAAAGCCCAAATACCAAAACCATATCATTCTGCCCTGGCCCTTCCCAAATCTCTTGTTCTCACATTTCAAAACCAGTCATGCCTTCCCAACTGTCCCCCAAAGTCTTAACTCATTTTAGCATTAACTCAAGAGCCCACAGTTCAAAGTCTCATCCGGGACAAGACAAGTCCCTTCCACCAACGAGCCTGTAAAATCAAAAGCAAGCTAGTTACTTCCTAAATACAATGGAGGTACAAGCACAGGGTAAATACAGGCATTCCAAATGGGAGAATTGGCCAAAACAAAGGGGCTACAGGTCCCATGCAAGTTCAAAATCCAGGGGGGCAGTCAAATCTTGAAGATCCAAAATGATCTCTCCTTTGACTCCATTTCTCATGTCCAGATCACACTGATGAAAGAGGCAGTCTCCCATGACTTTGGGCAGCCCCGCCCCTGTGGCTTTGCAGGGTATAGCCCGCCTCCTGGCTGCTTTCGTGGGCTGGCATTGACTGTAGCTTTTACAGGCACATGATGAAAGCTGTCAGTAGATCTAACATTCTGGGGTCTGGAGGATGGTGGCCCTCTTCTCACAGCTCCACTAGGCAGTGCCCCAGTAGGGACTCTGTGAGGGCTCTAACCCCACATTTCCCTTCTGCACTGCCCTAGCAGAGGTTCTCCATGAGTGTCCCATCACTGCAGCAAACCTCTGCCTGGGCATCCAGCCATTTCCATACATCCTCTGAAATCTAGGAGGAGGTTCACAAACCCCAATTCTTGACTTCTGTACACTTGCAGACTCAACACCACGAGGAAACTGCCAAGACTTGGGACTTGCACCATGTAAAGCCATGGCCTGAGTTCTACATTGGCCCTTTTCAGCCCTGCCTGGGACACAGGGCACCAAGTCCCTAGGCTGCACACAATATGGGGATCCTGGGCCTGACCCACAAAACCATTTTTTCTTCACAAACCTCCAGGTCTGTGATGGGAGGGGCCCCACAAAGTCCTCCGACGTGCCCTGGAGACATTTTCTCCATTGTCTTTGTGATTAACATTTGGCTCTTTGTTACTTGTGCAAATTTCTGGGGCGGGCTTGAATTTCTCCTCAGAAAACAGGTTTCTATCCTATTGTCAGGCTGCAAATTTCTCAACTTTTATGCTGTTTCCCTTTTAAAACTGAATGCCTTTAACAGCACCCAAATCCCCTCTTGAATGCTTTGCTGCTTAGAAATTTCTTCTCCCAGACACCCTAAATCATCTCTCTTGAGTTCAAAGTTCCACAAGTTTCTAGGGCAGGGGCACAATGCTCCCAGCCTCTTTGCTAAAATGTGACAAGAGTCAGCTTTGCTCCAGTTCCCAACAAGTACCTCATCTCCATCTGAGACCACCTCTGCCTGGATTTCATTGTTCATATCGTTATCATCTTTTTGGCCAAAGTCATTAAACAAGTCTCAGGGGGGTTCCAAACTATCCCACAGTTTCCTGTCTTCTGAATCCTCCAAACTGTTTCAACCTCTTCCTGTTACCCAGTTCTAAAGTCAGTTCTACATTTTTGGATCTCTTTTCAGCAGCACCCCACCTGTGGTAACAATTTACTATATTAGTTCATTTTCATACTGCTGATAAAGACTTGCCTGAGACTGCGCAATTTATAAAATAAAGAGGTTTAATGGACTTCGTTCCACGTGGCTGGGGAGGCCTCACAATCATGGTGAAAGGCAAGGAAGAGCAAATCACATCTTACATTGATGACAGAAGGCAAAGAGAGAGAGCACTTGTGCAGGAAGACTCCCGTTCTTAAAACCATCCGATCTCATAATACTTATTTCACTATCAGGAGAACAGCATAGGAAATACCTGCCCCCATGATTCAATTACCTCCCACCAGGTCCTTCCCACAACACATGGGAATTCAAGGTGAGATTTGGGTGGGGCCACAACCAAACCATATCACTCATATACCCCGGCTATTCACTGGGAAGAGAAAGGAACGAGGGATGCCTTTTTCATCTTTTTCTAGATGAATAACCAATTATCTTCACTCCGTGTTTCTCTCCAATGCATCTTGAATCACTGGGATTCCTTTGAAAATAAAACAAACAAGTAAACAAAAAAACCTTCTTTCTTCTTTTTCCTCCTCGGTCCTCTCTTCACCAACGGGTATTTGTGTCCCTGTACCACAGGAGAATCCCATTAGATGTATTCCCCAAACTGGAAAAGTTAATTGCTGGGCTTAAAATTGAGCTCAGGGGAAAGGAACCCAACAGCCTGACACGCCAGGTAAAAGGTAAAAGTTTTTGAATAGTTGGACTTCTGGCCTCCCTCTTCCTCGGCAAACTGGTTGAAAGAATGATAAAATCACTGTTTTATCCTCTGTAAAGTTTTGATTAATGGATAAAGGATTTATGAAGCTAGTTGTAAGCTGTAGCCAATCTGGTGCACTTTATATGTCTTTCTGTATGGTTCTGTTATGAAAAGGAGTACCTTAGGATAGAATGGGGGCTTAGGACTCTATAAACCCACTCACTGTTCAAGCCAGCCCAGCAAACTGGTCAGTAACAAACTTTGTTTTATGTTTCCATCTTGTTTTACATCCTTGGGAGCATGACCTGTAACCATGTAGAAATACTTGGTTTTGGTCTCTGCTGTTTTACAATGGCAGTTTGGGTTCAATCCTGGCTTTGGGAATGAGTATTTTCTGGCTAATACCTGTGTGACTTTTACTTTGCTGATTCTCTTCCCCTCTGTGACCAACTTCTAGCTTCCTTTCTTAAATCTTCCCTTCTCTGAGCTACCTTTAAAGATTCTAGATTGTGTAAAAACTGCTTACCGCCTCTGTGATAATATCTTGTACACTTGCCATTAAGTCATAACCTTAGTTGAGGCTTGTTGGTTTCACCTGTGAGGTTACTGTTGCTAAAGTTCAAAAGTCAGAAATATTGGCCACTTAGCATGGCTAAAATGGGTAGCAAGGGGTTTGAACAGATTTTCTCAAAGAGCGCTCAGCTTAATTAAAAGTGAATATCCAAGCTACAGCTATATTTAAAAGGGCTTTATGTTTTTCTCTTTTTGGATCTTGTTTTTCTGGAAAAGTTTATTTTTATTTATTTTTTTTTTTTTCTTGTCAGTCAACTGAATTACTTCTCCCCATTTTGTCTTGTCACTCTTCATGCACACATGAGAGGCCCTAAGATAACTTATGAGAGCACAGGACTTCTTAGGAGAAACAAACAAGGTGTCACAGATCCCATTTTGGGAAAAAAACCTGTTTTCCTCATGGAACCCCAAGAATTAAAAGCAGTTCCCTCTCAAAATCTATTTTTGTCTTCCAGTTTTGCCTGTTTGTTGGGTCCTAAAAACTGCAGCCTTTCCTAGCCCTACTTGTTGAAGGGTTCCAACCTGAGGCCAATAATCCAATTAGGAGGTTGGCAAATGAAAAATCTTACAACTACTGTATCTTCTTCTGTCTGTCTGTGTAATCATATATGTGTTATGTGTGCGATGGTTATATAAAAATGAGCTCTAATTGATTGGACTAAAAAAATAAGCACTTAGATCAAATAGTTTTGAAAGAAAAATAAAAGCTATAATGTCTTTTAGTTCACATGACTTTAATCTTCGAAAAATAAAAACAGTTTTAAAGATAATTGCTAAAATACAAATGTCTTCAAAATGCAAATATGTGGTCTAAATTATGCAGGTCAGATAGTAGGTCTGCTAAATGTTTTAAGGTTATAAAATGATTCTTTGGCTTTTGAGAACTGTTTCACTTGCCTGCTTTACAATTTGGTAATGCCTGGGACATATGGAATTATCCATGCCCTTAACTATGCTGGAAAGAGTCAGATTTTATCTGCACCTATTACATAATTAAAACAACTTACCAAGGTTTACACTAAAATTAAAAATTGCTAAGGGTTGCCATTATAACATGTAATTAAGACTGCTGAGATTGGACTTACATGCAAGGTGTGTAAGGAAAGTAAAATATGTTTTTAGTAAAATATTATGAGAAGGCATGGGAATATAAATTTTTGCCTGGGTTAAAGGATTGTCTTGAATTAGATAAAGCTGAAGATTTAAAACAATGGTGGATGGTTTGTAAAAATTAATCTTGCAGAAGAAATTCTTTATGTGATCATATTGACTAACTTCAAAAAGTTATTAAATGGTTGTTCCATAAATTGAGCATTGAAATAAAAACATGACAAGGTCTTCTTAAGGCAATAATCTACTCTTTAACAAAAATTTATAAAGGGTTATAAAAGCTTTATAAGCATTTCACCTCATGATCAAACTGGTTAAGACTGGATAGAGTCATCTATAAGGTTTCATTAAAAAATTGGGGTTGACGTTAATAGTAGACTAATGCAAGGGTAAAATTTGGCTTTCTCTCTCTTGAACAAGATTTTTATGTAATAGTAAAGGATAATTAAAGGTTTTTGCCTTTTTAAAAATTTTTGTGTCATCATATTGGCTAAATAAATAACATGATAATCTGGAACTGTATTTCATAATATCAAATGTTTTGAACCTTTAACATGTTTTGTAGGCTTCTCAAAAATCAAACTTTAGCTTCAAAAATTGTCCTTTCTGACCCCTAGCTTTTGGATGCTACAGAGAGCCCCTGGAGCATCCAGAAGAGAGGTAAACGGGATTATTTGACATGTTTAGTTACAAGGGATTGCTAAAATAAAACTAAGGTTTAAA